GTTAAATAATTAGAGTAAGAGCCTTGTGGAATTATTCATGCTTGTAAAATTGCCTTTGAATTGACTCGGGTATTGGTTGTGAAATCTGTGGCTGTGAAATTTTACTGCCTCGTGGTAGCAACGGCACATGGCCGAATTGGTTATTGGGAATTCTAACTGCGCTACACCTGTGTTAATATGAGTTTTTTTTTGTATGACTCAATATGCGTCAATTAAAACTGAATAAAAACCTACTGGAAGATGAACACTAGGAGGGCCACAAGTTTATTAGTATTGTATACTATTACGTGTTTACACTAGGAGGGCCACAAGTTTATTAGTATTGTATACTATTACGTGTTTACCCTCGTTAAATAAAGTCCTTACTTACTTACTTACTTACACATATCACCATTACAAAGCGCAAATATAATCAAGAGCCTAACCCACTTACGCATGACTACTCTCATTTTTTTTTTGATTATTAGTTGTTCGATCAGCGTGAGCATTTGTCTTTTAATAGTCTTAAAAGTTTCAGATCACGTTTTCACTTCACTTTACTTTTTCCGCGATGTGAACCTGTCACGAACGTGTTCTGAGTGATGGCAGCCAAAACAACAACAACAACAACAACAAAAGAAAAGAAAGAAAAGAAAAGAAAGAAAAGAAAGAAAAGAAATGGTTTCGGAAATGCTTTTCCTATGAATAATTCCTTGCTCGCTATGCGTCACGATTAATTAATATAACAATAGTGTAAAAAAGATAAGTTTAACACCGTAAAAAAAAGTATGGGAAATAACTTACTGACGTTTCATTTCTTTTTTACACAACTGTTTCTTTAGAAACACCGACGCAGCTCACACTAGTTTACCGCTAGTTCCCACCATTTTAAATATAACAATAGTAGCTGTTTGGAATTTCGAAACTTTTCGCTATGATATTGCTCAAAAGTAAAAACCCAGCGTAATTCAGTTCGTTAAAATCTTACTTTCGAGGTTTGGACTTGGCTATTTCCCTCTTGATCACCTTCATAAACAGAGGACTTCGTGCCAGCCTGTTCATGCTTTGGTTTGGAAGTAACGGTTTTCGTTTATCTACCAGAGCCATCGCGGAAGTAATCAGTTCTTTGCCCTGTTCCTCTGGGAGTGCCACAATTCACGATCAACGAGTCAAGCAATCATATTTCAATACATAATTCCATTTGAAATTCACATCTTTAAACCATATCAGTTCACTCGATACATTACAAGAAATAACAAAAAGGCTCATCGTTATAGTAAAGAATTAAGGACTGCTGTATGGAAAATACTGCGTAATGACTTGTGCAGTAACCATGGAGGCGATAGAAGTGACGTCAAAACTCGGTCCTTACAAAGTACTTTTTACGTCTATAGTCATGCGAATGACGTGCATACTTCGAATACTAGCGCCATTTTCAAAACGTTCTACTAGGTCCGCACAAAACTGGGAACTAGCTTGTCTTAAAACGTTTTCTTTCGGTCGTTTTGACCACACTTCAGATTTTYTCGGCCCAGTAAAGGAAGCTCTTGATTTCAGTCTGGCAAGAAGCTACCTTCCCTAACCTATTAATATTCCAGATACACGTTGGGAAAATTTTGATAAGACCCACTTGCACAAAATTACAGCTGAGGTTTATGAAGCTTTTATCGTTAAATTATGTAAGGGYGGGTCCAGGTAACCCRGACAGGGACCTGGGAAGGGGCTAAATGTGAGTTTTGCCCGACAAAACGATGGAAKAARCAAAAAACGAATTTAAAAAGATAAACCTTAGGCACACTGCTACTCCTATTTCCATTTCCATTACGAAGTTGCAAAATTTTAACAACTACGGCAATTCTTAAAGACACCACCTGGACCTATCTAGAAGCTGCTGTTTTTTTAGCAGTTACTATATCATACTATACATCTTTCTAGGTGGATTTAAATATAAAAAAATGAGTATACCAAACAAATTATATTTGCTATATAGAGAACTTTATATAAGCAATATATACGTACATTTTAACATAACTGGATTTAGAGTTCAGTAACTTTTAGGTACTAGAAAGTGTCAGATTATTTCTCTCTTGGGTTTGCTTGAAAACAGCACAAGAAAAGACTGGGTATGACTCATAGTAACCATGCTTTAGATTACTGCAATTTTTTAAGAAATGTCCATTTAACTTTACTGTACAGCTCATATCAACTTAAATCGCAGTAAAATCAATAAGAATGTCAAGGAACTTCACGAAACTTGATTAAGTGGATGTTGCTTTTGATCATCTGAAGAAGTCTTTCTGCTGTCATTGGTGGTTCGTCTACTTTTGGTGCTTTATAGGAGACATATGGCTTTAGCTAAACAGAAACAGAAGAACTATCATCAATATCCTCATTTGTAAAACTCATCAAATAATTAATGAGGACAACACAATAGAAATCAAAATTGTGAAGAGTGTTGTAATATTTGATACAAAACTGTCTTGATTTGCATAAACTTCAAATCTAATTTTCTCAGCCAAATTCAATTTTATCTTTATGTTTTTAGTAGATTATGAATGTATACACCTAAATGTTTCACAAGTAATTTACAACATTCACGTCCGTGTTATATGGACTTTACAATCTCTCGCCTTCAGCTCGAGATTGTAAAATCCCACACCACACGCCCACTCATGTTGTAAACATTACATAACATGTATAGTTACTTAACTAACAATAATTCTATGCTAAATTCACAGCAAAGAAAAATCAAAATAACCTTTCAAAATAATTAATAACTAAAAGCTTTTAAAAATTTTAATAGCTGCGCTGATTTATTCGACATTTTATAGAAGAATAAGTGATATATCATATAACTTAGTTCTAAATGGACATTGTTTCAAATTTTTTTTCTTATTACCTAATACTTGGCTGCTGGCCATAAAAAGTTGCATTGTGTGGAGGCAATAGTATCATTTAATAAATTAATATCTACCTCAAATCCTGTTAGATCTGGAACAATGAATTCAGGTACTTTTCTTTGAACAATCTTGTATCCACCTACATAAATCAACAACATTAAAGCG